CGACACCATTGCAAATAATGTGGGTAAGAGATCAAAATAACCAGCTTTAATACTTAATTAGTTGATAGTGAAATTGAAAGATTAAGTATGCTTTTCATCTCATAAGAAGACCTTTATGTTAAATATATTGTATATATTAGTCAAAGGAGATAATTCTCATAATTATCTTAGTTTATAGCCTCTGTTATATGTATATTGTGTAGTTTGTTCTCCTAGTTTGTAGTCTAGGATAATGCATAGCCTTTGTATATATATTCTGTAAAAAGCAATGAGAAAGCTAAGAAAAATATTCCCTCATCTTTCATGGTATCAGTTGCCTAGGGCACGATTCCTTCTTCTCTTTCGCTACTATCCTCGACTTACCGCTCACCATTATTGTTTTCTCTTCTTCTTTTTTTTTTTCTTCTCTTCTTTCTCAATGGGTGATTCTAAGTCATCTTTCTATCCGCAACATACCGTTCCCAATATCAAGAACATCATTTCCATTACCCTAGAAATGGAAAATGTGCAATACTCTACGTGGGCGGAGTTGTTCAAAATTCACACAAAATCTCGTCAGGTCCTTCACCATATCATTCCCCCTGCTGAGACAGACAAAGGCGCAAGGAGAAAGTTCCATCTACCGAGGAAGAAAAGGAACTATGGCAGACCCTTGATGCCACGGTTTTATCGTGGATCTATGCTACTATCTCACGTGACCTCCTCAATACCATTATTGAACCAGATGCTACTACCATGGAAGCTTGGGATAGGCTGCGTGACCTATTTCAAGACAATCAACATTCTCGGGTTGTCACTCTTGAGCAAGAGTTTTCCACCACGATTTTGGAGGACTTCCCTAATGTTTCGGCATAATGTCAACGTCTGAAATCTCTCGCTAATCAACTTAAGAATGTCGGTGCACCTGTTTCGGAAAGTAGGATGGTTCTTCAATTAGTTGGGGGCCTTACGAAAGCGTACAGTGGTGTGGGTACGCTTATTAGGCAGAGCAATCCTCTACATACCTTTTATCAGGTACGATCAATGCTCACCTTGGAGGAGGCTGGCATGGCCAAAGAAGCATCGACGGGGTCCGATTCGGCGATGGTGGCTACATCTCCTGATAATTCGCAACTTGAGTCCGGTTCTCATGGACATTCAAAGGGCAAAAATCAGAAAAAGGGGAAGTCTGGTGGCAACCGAAAAAATTCTGGAGGTGGATCCGGTAGTGCAGGTCGCGGTTCCGGCGGCGGCAAGGCTGGTCAGGGGTCCGGGTCCGGCGGTGCAGGTCGCGATTCAGGCGGCAGCAGACTCCACCTCCATACTGGCAACAACAATATCCGAGTGGGGGTGGATGCCTCAAGGTTGGCCCATTCCACCATGTCCCTATCCAACTCAAGGATGGGCTAGGCCCCCCTTTCAACAAAGGCAGCTAGGTATCTTGGGCCCACGCCCACAACAAAGTCAGCAGGCTTATACAGCTTCCTCTACTGGGCAGCCCGGTTCTTATGGTCCTTCTTATGCTCCAACAGACATCGAGTCCATAATGTTATGCACACTATGACTTTTTCTCAACCCGATCTGTCGTGGTACATGGACACTGGGGCTACTTCTCATATGACCTCCTCTCCCGGTAATTTCTCATCTTATTTAATTTGAGCACTCATCCTAATAATGGCATTGTTGTTAGTAATGGTCATACTATTCCTATACTTGGTTATGGTCACACTAACTTACCTTCCCCTACTACTCCCCTTTCTTTAAAGAATGTTCTTCATGCTCCTAATCTCATAAAAAATCTCATTTCTGTTAGAAAATTTACCGATAATTCTGTGATAGTTGAGTTTGATCCTTTTGGGTATTCTGTGAAGGATTTTTGGACGGGGATACCAATCATGAGATGTGATAGCCAAGGGGACCTTTATCCTTATACCAACAATCAAGCTCATTCTTCTACCTTCGCCGCCATCTCTCTTAAGCTTTGGCATGATCGGTTGGGTCATCCGGGTGCTCCTATGTTAGATGTTCTTAGGCATAATAAAAGCATTGATTGTACTAAACATTCTAGTTCTAGAATTTGTGGTTCTTGTGTTTATGGAAAACATGTTAAATTGCCTTTCATTTCATCTCTTCAAACACTATTATGCCATTTGATATTATTCATAGTGACTTATGGACATCTCCTATTTTGAGTTCTTCGGGCCATCATTATTATATTGTGTTATTGGATGATTATTTGAAATATTTATGGACTTTTCCTATAGCTAAGAAGTCGGATGTTTATGACACTTTTCTAACTTTTAAAGCCCATATCCTCACCCAATTTGAACTGAAAGTAAAAAATATTCAATGTGATAATGGGAGGGAGTTTGATAATGGTCCATTTTGGGATTTTTGCAAACGAAATGGCTTGTCTTTTCGTCTTTCTTGTCCCCATACATCTTCTCAAAATGGGAAAGCCGAACGAAAAATTAGAACTATCAATAATGTCACTAGAACTCTTCTTGCTCATGCCTCTCTACCGCCTTCTTTTTGGCATCATGCTTTGCAAATGGCCACATACCTCCTTAATATTCTTCCGAGTAAGTGGTTGGGTAATAAGTCTTCTTTAGAGATCCTTTATCAATGGATTCCTTCTTATTCTCACTTACGGGTTTTCGGGTGTTTATGCTACCCTCTTATTCCATCTACAACCATTAATAAGTTACAACCAAGGTCTACTCCTTGTGTGTTTTTGGGTTTTCCTCCTAATCATCGAGGCTACAAGTGTTTTGATTTATCTTCTAATAAAATCATTGTTTGTCGCCATGTCTTGTTTGATGAGAATGTGTTCCCATTTGCTAAAATTCATACTCCAACTACTCACTCGTATGATTTCCTAAGTGATGGATTACATCCTTCTATTATTCATCATTTAACCCAAGCTGGTGATATCCTACAACAGGCCCAGCCCACATCTCCTCCTACTTCACCCACGGCCCAACCCAACTCCCCTCCCTCAGCTGCTGCCCAATCTCCTTTGGGTACGCAAGAGGTGCATGGGCCTCCCTCAGCTTCTGCCCACTCTCCTTTGGGTACGCAAAAGGCGCATGGGCCTTCCTCTCCTTCAAACCCAATCCGTGCCTCACATATCTCTTCTTCTCCCTTGGCCAAGCTACAAAACGGCCCACCTGCTCCCACTCCTACCCATATTCCAGTCCAACAGCCTTCCGTCGTTGTGACTCGTAGTCAGAATGGCATTTTTAAGCCAAATAACAAATATTTTTCCAATGTTGTTGTCACGAGGTCTCCTTTACCTCGTAATCCGATCGCGGCTTTGCGTGATCCGAATTGGAAAATGGCCATGGAAGATGAATATAATGCTCTAATTAAAAATAAGACGTGGGAGTTGGTGCCCCGTCCGCCTGATGTGAATGTTATTCGATCTATGTGGATTTTTACTCATAAAGTCAAGTCTAACGGTAATGGTAAAGCCCGTCTTGTAGGTGATGGTAAAGCTCAACAGGTTGGCATTGATTGTGGCGACACTTTTAGTCCGGTTCTCAAACCAGCTACAATCCGTATGGTTCTTAGTCTTTTCTTGTCGAAGGCATAGCTTATACATCAGTTAGATGTTAAAAATGCTTTCTTACATGGTGAGCTACAGGAAACATTTTATATGCATCAACTAGTTGGTTACAGAGATCGGGTTCATCTAGATTATGTTTGTCTCTTGCGTAAGTCACTTTATGGACTTAAGCAGGCTCCCCGAGCTTGGTATAAGCGCTTTGCTGATTATGTGTGTTCTCTTGGATTTACTGACAGCAAGATGAATAACTCTTTGTTTATCTACCACAAAGGGTCTGATATGGCTTACATTTTATTATATGTTGATGATATTATTTTGACTGCTTCTTCTGATGCTCTCCAATGTTCTATCATGGCTCTTCCTAGCTCCGAGTTTGCTATGAAGGACCTTGGTCCTCTGAATTATTTTTTGGATATTGCTGTGACTCGACATAAGGGTGGTTTGTTTCTCTCACAATGTAAATATGCCGAGGAAATAATTGACCGTGCAGGGATGTCATCGTGTAAACCGTCTCAAACTCCGGTTGACACGAAGTCAAAGGTAGGCACTACTACTAGTGCTAATTTTGATGACCCATCTCTGTACAGGAGCCTTGCAAGGGCTCTACAATATCTTACATTCACCAGGCCAAATATTTCTTATGTCGTTCAGCAGATTTGTCTTCATATGCAAGACCTGAGGGTTGATCATATGTTTACTCTCAAACAGATTATTCGGTATGTACAAGGTACTCTTGATTATGGTCTACATTTATATCCATTTTCTATTTCTTCTCTGGTTGCATATACTGATGCAAATTGGGGTGGGTGCCCTGATACGAGACGTTCGACGTCTGGTTATTGTGTTTTTTTGGGTGATAATCTGATATCTTGGTCATCCAAACGCCAACCCACATTGTCAAAATCTAGTGCAGAGGCCAAATATCGTGGGGTGGCGAATGTTGTCTTCGAATCGTGCTGGATTCAGAATCTTCTCTTGGAATTACATTGTCCAGTTAAAAAGGCTACTCTTGTTTATTGTGACAATGTTAGTGCTATTTACTTATCAGGAAATCCAGTTCAACATCAACGTACAAAACACATTGAAATGGATATTCATTTTGTCCGAGAGAAGGTTGCACATGGGGAAGTTCGAGTTCTACATGTGCCTTCACGATATCAGATAGCGGAAATCTTCACTAAAGGTCTTCCGCGAGTGTTGTTTGAGGATTTTCGGGACAATCTTAGCGTCCGTCGACTTCCTGCTTCGACTGTGGGGGTGTGTTAAATATATTGTATATATTAGTCAAAGGAGATAATTTCTCATAATTATCTTCCTAGTTTATAGCCTTTATTATATGTAAATTGTGTAGTTTGTTCTCCTAGTTTGTAGCCTAGGATAATGCATAGCCTTTGTATATATATTTTGTGAAAAACAATGAGAAAGCTAAGGAAAATATTCCCTCATCTTTCACTTTATAGCTAAAAAAAACTCAGGTATTATTATTACATAAGAACAGCACATCAAGCCAGAGTCATTAACATTACAACCACATAGAAAGCAGAACACCAACATAAGTTCGGGTGCATTACACTCTAACATAGCAGGACTATACATAGCCGATTATATTATAGCATGCCTTAAGTTTGTTTCTGCAAGGCCAAGGACTTTCCCCAAGAGGGCCTAGCTAAGATATCCTTGCTCCAAGCACTCACATGAGGGCGTTCATCGAACAACTTCTTCTCTTTTGTACCAAGCACGTAATGCATGGTAGGCAAGTGATGAAGATCAGCCAAAGTGAAGGAATCACCGGCCAAATACTTGAACTTAGACAAATGAGCCTCGTAGACATCAAGGATCTTAACCGACTTAGCTTCGTTCTCTTCAACTACAGCGTTGTCAGTTTGTAGGCCGAACGTGCTCTTGAAAACAAGCTCCCAAGCGAGTTTATAGGCTACTTGATCAAATTGGTGAGCCTCGACTTCCATCCAAATAGCTAGGTCGGCCATTTCCTTTCCTTCTTTGTACACAAGGGGAGTTCCCTTGCCTTCATGGTTGTATGCTATGTATTTTGTAATGGCCCTTGACTCTGTTTTAAAAATGAACGTATCAAAACATGAGAACAACTAATCAAATCGTCGCAATTCGTGTTTGTTTAGGTATAGTGTCTTACCAAATAGCTTGACATCTCCATCTTCGAAAGCTGGTACTTGATCAAATGGCTGCAATTATACCACGAATAAATCAAGTGTCTTCTAGAGAGCCAAATCTAAACTATGAAGACTAATGGAAACCAGTCACAGCTATTTCAAATTATTGCAATCAAACAATTCCCCTCAAGCTTAGGATGATTATTGCTTTTGCTTCAAATAATTCACAATCATTAAAATATTATGGTAGTTATATTTCAAACGGTCATTATAAAATTTTCATAATTTATTGTAGTCTAGATGAAATTGGAGAATGTAGATGCCGGATGGCTTTTTATTAATGAATTGATTTGTTTCAAAAAAAAAATTGAAATTGGAGAATGCTTGTCAAACATGATTCTATTTGTAATTACAAACTAAGTTTATTAGGCGTTTATTAGGTTATCATTTTTAAAGGAATGAAGGTGGGGTATAATAAATAATTGATTATTCATCAATTATAATGGTGTATGAAGGTTCAATGGGCACTCAAGAGGGGGGGGGGTGAATTGAGTGTTAAGTAATCGTTGGCTAATTTTGCTTCTTTTCGGATTATGTGTGAGGAACCAGTTGTGCTGGTTCCCGTACGCAGCGGAATATAAATAAGCAATAAAGAAGACAACAAATTTAACGAAATAAAACAAAGCAATAAAGAACACAACAAATTTAATGAGGTTCAGCCAACTCAGGCCTACGTCCTCCTATCCTAAGTTCTTTATTAATCTACTCCGAAAAACAAAGACAAAGAACACTCTGCTGTTCCCTACTCCGGGAACCAGCAAACCCCACACTCTACTCCGAGTGTGCTCTCGACTTACACTCGTAAGCCCAATGTGTTTGAACTCACAAACACTCACCCAGCCTTTAACCCCTTTGTTAAAGACTCAATACAAGAATCAAGAACTCCCCTTTGATCTCACTTCTACGAAGCTAATTAAGAGAAAATATTTAAGTACTAGAATGCTCTTGTATATGACTTGATGAATGGGATTAGTGCTTAAGTATATGCTCTCAAATAATTGCTCTTTTGATTTCTGGAGAGGCACACGAAATATGTGAAATAAGATGAGTTTATATAAGCTTAGATTCCTAAAACCTAGTTTCCTTAAATCACACAATCTTAGAGAATAAGATATAATGTAATTTTAGGAAAGTTTTTATCTTATTTGATTTAATCACAAAGATAGAATCAATTAAGATAAATACTCCTAGTTTTTAGGTAACCAAGAATATTTCATCTTATTTCCAGCTGCACAAAATATTTTCAAGATAATCTTTTCGAAAAAATCTTTTTGTAAAATCTTTTTCCAAAACGGCAGCTCGAATACAGTGAACCTGGTTTCCCGACCTGGTTCCCTGAATTGAAACATGTTATGAAACCTGTTCCAACTTTGTACCAGATTTCATATCATACTTCAATATACTTTTAAGCACTTATATAACCCAAACATGCAAGCATACTACGGAGCATATTACATGAAAACCTAGATAACATATTAAAGCATAAATCGTCTTTTCTTCATGTAATCTTCAAGACTTGAATCTTCCTTGAATACTTCTATTATGAGCAAACAATCTTTCTTCGAAATATCTTCGAAAGGCTTCTATGCTCCAAGTCTTGGAATCAACTCAACTACTGCACATGTAACATGGTTAATGCACAATAAAGAGTATGTGACTGCTTTACCACGTAGCAGCCATGGAAACAGTACATACTGGTTCCCTACCAGTACATAACACTTTTATCATATAACTGTTCCCTGTATAAAGACAAGTTAGTTCAATAAGAAAACTCATGTAAGTAATAACTTGTCTGGGGAAACAGTGTTCTATGTTAGCTGGTTCCCCCAACTGTATCGAACACTTTCAAGGACCTGTTTCCCTTAGCTGTTTGTCATCATTCAAAACTATCAATCAAAACCTAAGGGACTCAACAAATTCCCCCTTTTTGATGATGACAAACTTTTGAAGTTCCTGAACCTGTGAACATGCTCAAAAGGAAAACCGTCAAAAACTTCAAGGACTCAAGACTCTTTGGAACAAGTCAGTTAGGCCAACTGGTTCCCTAAACATAAAATAGAAAATACGAAATAAAAAGACTCAAACTGACTCAATCTAAACTAGCTAAACCTTAGGCTTCAACTTCAGACGACTTCCCCCTTTTGGCATCATTAAAAAGTATCCACAAGTAAAAGCAATGTGCACAAGTTAATGTGCTTATCCATACAATGGCATCAACCACCATTCAAGCATTATGCTGCAAAAAGAGATTAGTCAAACAGTTCATACCATAGCAGAGTTAGTAGTTCATACAAGCCAACAAAGTTCAACCAAAGAAGCCCAAATCCATCCAAAAAGAAAGTTCATGGAATGGAGAGAAGTAGACAGACCAACAAAATCAGTTATTTTAGAATAAACATGAGGGTGAGGAAACAAGAACAGAAACAGCATCACTCCTCATCATCATTCTCGTTCCCTTCCTCCTCCTCGAACTTTGCAACATCTTCTGTATTATCATCTGATTCCTCTTCATCCTTGTCACCATGCTCTGCTTAAACCAAAATCATTATATTGCTAAGCATATTCTTGTGATTCCCCAATCTGTTTCAAAACCACTTCCTGACCTGCTGGTTCCTCTATTTTTTTTTTTTTTTTTTTTTTTTTTTTTTTTTTTTTATAAAACATGAGAGATATGTACTGATTCAGAATGTTCTCCTTGTTGCATAACGAGTGCAAAACTGTTCTCCTTGTTGCATAATGAGTGCAAAACTAGCATCACATCAATCAAGCAAAGAGGTTCTTGCTGGTACCCTTTTTCTCTTGGTTCCTGGAACAGCATCAATGGACTGTTCCTCCTGCACCTTCTCAGTGAACTTCTTTAATTGAGTTACTCTACTTCGTACCATGGTCTTAGCAATGGGTGTTTCCTCATAATAACCAACAATCTCTATTTCATCCTCTTCACTCTGAATTTTCTGAATTTCCTCCAACTTCGGGCTTAAGGACACTTATGCTTCCATCTGATGTTCCCCCTGAGACTGAGCTGGTTCCTTGAGTGAACAGTAACCAAATGAACAATGATGAATTTAAAGCATACGAGAGAGAGAAAGAGAATTTCGAGTGATGATGATTGATGATCTGCACAAAGGGTTAGTGTATATTTTTAACAATGAAGCACAAAGAGAGAAGAAGGAAAGAAAAGAGTTAGTTGAGCCAATAAAAAGCAACTGTAAAGGATATTTTTAAATTGAAATCAAAAATTTGGTAATTATCTTTTACCATAATTATCTCAACCAACTATAAATAAGGCATATGATATGTTTGCCTTTTATATGGGATTAAATAACTGAAATAAGATAAATTCCTTCCAAAAGGAAATATCTTATAGTAATCTTCCGAAAATAAAAGATATTATCGGATGACATATCAGAGCTGGTCTGCTGTTTCCCTTTGCTGGTACCTGTATAGAACCATGTCACGCTGTTTCTGGCAATTCAGCCTGATTTCACCTGTTTCTTACAACAATGATTCTCAATCCTTTTGAGATTTTGAACCATCTACACAACACTTGAAAGATATCAACATAAGTATGTACACACACTATACAAGAGAATACCATTCTAACCAATCATTGAAGGAAGTAATTGAAGCCAATACCTAAAATCTAACTAGACCTAAAAGGACTCTTAACCTACAAAAAGACTCTCTACACAAAGGCTTTGTGAAGATATCAGCAATTTGATCTTCACTTTTACAAAACAACATCTCCACCAATCCTTTTTCCACATTGTCTCTTAAAAAATGGTGTCTTATTTCAATGTGTTTTGTCTTGGAGTGTTGCACAGGATTCTTTGAAATATTGATTGCACTAGTGTTATCACAAAAAATAGGAACACTTTTATAAATAACACCAAAATCTTTCAGCTGGTTCCTTATCCACAGTAGCTGGGAACAGCATGAAGCTGCAGCTATATATTCAGACTCTGCCGTGGATAGGGCCACTGAATTTTGCTTTTTAGAACCCCATGAAATTAGACAAGAGCCAAGAAAGTGTGCCATACCTGATGTGCTCTTTCTATCAACTAAGAAACCAGCATAATCTGCATCTGTGTATCCAATAAGATCAATGGTACTGCCTTTGGGGTACCACAATCCCAGATTTGCTGTTCCTACAAGATACCTAAGTATCCTTCTAACAGCCTTCAAGTGAGATTCCTTTGGATTGCTTTGAAACCTAGCACACAAACCAACAGAAAACACAATGTCAGGTCTACTAGCTGTTAGGTAAAGTAGAGAACCTATCATTCCTCTATAAAGAGAAGCTTCAACATCTTTTCCCTTAAGATCAGCATCTAATTTTGTAGATGGGGGAACAGGTGTATCATAAGCTTTGCTGTTCTCCATGCCGAATTTTTTCAGCAACTCTTTTAAGTACTTTTGTTGATGGATCATTATTCCATCATCCATTTGCTTAATCTGCAGCCCTAGGAAGAATCCTAGTTCTCCCATCATGCTCATTTCAAATTCACTCTGCATAAGATTAGCAAATTCATCACATAAAACCTGATTAGTAGCACCAAATAAAATATCATCAACATAAATTTGTACTACAATCAAGTGTTTCCCCCTGGTTCTTATGAACAAGGTCTTGTCTATTGTTCCCCTCTTGTAATCATTTGCCATCAAGAAATTGGACAATCTTTCATACCAAGCCCTCGGAGCTTGTTTCAACCCATATAATGCTTTGTCCAACTTGTACACATGTTGGGGGAAAGGTGCATCTTCAAAACCAGGTGGCTGCTCCACATATACTTCTTCCTTTAAATATCCATTGAGGAAGGCAGTCTTTACATCCATCTGAAACAGCTTAAAATTCATGTGAGCAGCATAAGCAATTAAAATCCTAATAGCCTCTAGCCTAGCTACTGGTGCAAACGTCTCATCATAGTCAATTCCTTCTTGTTGATTGTACCCTTGCACCACTAGCCTTGCTTTGTTTCTGACTATAGTACCAAGGTCATCTAACTTGTTTC